AAATTAAATTTAAAAAAATAAATTTAAATTAATTCACACCACAACAAATAAAGAAAACTTAAATATCCATGTCTAATATCAAATGACAACATCAAAATTAATACCAATAAAAATTAGACTCGACTAACATTATCAGTTAAATCTTAATGAATGAATGGTAGAAGGATGAACAAGTCTAATATGTTCATTTCTTTTAGTTATATATTTAATCTTCTATTTTTATTTTTTAAAAAATAATAAAAGAGCTTAAAAGGGCTAACCCTTTTATTTTCAAGCTTAAAAGGGCTAACCTTTTAAGCCTGAATTATCATTTTTTGCTCCAAAATAGTGGCTCAGCCTTAGTTATTTTCGGGCTTAAAAAGGCTAGCCCGATGAGCTCAACCCTAATTGATAGCTCTATTTAAAACATTAAATAAGTGCTAACAGTGTTAAAAAAACTATTAAGTAGCAATGAAGTGACAAATAACCGGATAATTTTCTACACATCAAATCTGACCAAGCATCCACATAGAAAAACAAATACATTTTTTGAAGTAAGCCAACTTAGATCTACTTGTGTAAACTGAAGACATAAAAGCAGAAGCATAACCAAGAAGCTTCATACTTAGGTATAGCTCATTATTTCTTCTATTCCATCGAGTTTCAATACTAATGTAGAGAAGAAGGACATAAAATCATCATGGTCAAGCTCCATAAAGTTAGCAAGACAATCAATGTCTTCTTGCTTCATTATTTTTTCTCTCTCTTGAAGGTTAATCCAGATAGCTTGCACGTGCTAGGTTTCTACATGCTTTTTTTCCTCAATTTCTACTATATCTATTTTTAATTTATTGTGTTTTTTTTCACTTGCTTCATCTTTTTTCAATCTCTACATCTTTTACTTTTCAAATGCTATTCTTAGTTTGTCTACATTTTTTTTGGGTTTGAAATATTAAAAGCAAAATCCCATTTGGTCATCACACGATTCTAATTACTATTTATTTATAATATATAGAAGTGGCCAAAGTTGTGTTTTGTCTCAAGATATTCTCTTGTCTGTCTAAATGCCCGACCATCAGTATATTGTTTTAAAAAAAATTGTCTTAGATTAAAAATTAGAAAATTCAAACCTAATATGCAAGTTAAGGTATTAAATCTTAGGTATACAATGGAGCATCAAGAAAAGATAGAAGGAGCGAGTGGCGATGAAATGCTAGAATACTTAAATGATAGTGATGAAGTAGATTTGGGAGATGATTGCTTCAATCAATTTATCGACACATTGACATAATGGAGGATATGAGACAAGGTAGTGGGAGCAATTCAAATGTGTTAGAACACTAACATGCAGATTTACAAATTGTTCCTTCTTCTACAATGTTGGATGAGAACATTAGTGATTTGTTATCAAAACTAGAAGATGATGAGTTATATAAAGACTACGCAATTGATGAAGATGAAGATAAGCCAATAACAAATTACTACAAGCATAATCTAATGAAGATGTGCAAGGGCTTCAAATTTACTTTGGGAATGGAGTTTACTTCAATCAAACAATTTAGGGGTACTTTAAAGGAGCACTTTGTGTTGAATGATTATGCATTTGACTATATAAAAAATGATAAAGAGAGATGTAAAGTGAAAAGTGTGAAAAGATGTGGCTGGCTAATGTTTGTTAACAAAGAAAGTGACTTCCTAACTTATTGGCTAAAGAGACATTGAATCTAAGGCATGCATGTGGAGTAACAATCAATGCAAAGAGGGCTTCATTAGAGTGAATTGCTGAAAAAATAGTTGACAATGTCAAAATAAATAAAATATTAAATTGTCAGAGGTGTAAACAACCATAAAAAAAGATTACATGGCTTAACCATCAATTAACGATGCATTTTAAGGCAAGAAAAATTGCAAGAGAGATGATTGAGGGGGTTTGTAAAGAAGAATATACTTGCTTGAGGGACTATTGTTTGGAAATTAAGCCAAAAAATTCGAGATTCACATTTTGTTTTATCATGGATAAGCCATATATAGATCATCTGCACGTATTTAGAAGATTGTATATGTATTTGGAAGCAGTGAAAAATGGCTTCAAGGCTGCATGTAGGCCAATTACTAGATTGTAGGGGTGTTTTCTCAAAGGCCCATATGGTGGTATATTATTAGTGGTTGTTGCTCATGACCTTAATGAACAATATTTTCCTTTAGTTGTGGTAGTTGAAAAATTCTTAGACATGGTTCTTGAAAAATTTATTTGATGACATTGACACCATGGCTAAAAAAAAAAAGAGTATTTATTTCAAACCAACAAAAGGTAATTATTATAACTTTAAGATTTAAAGTGCCTTAATTATCATATTTCTATTTATTTATTCATATAATAATTATTGGTTTTAATGTTCAAGGTTTGGTTCAAGCATCTAGAGAATTGCTTAAAGGTGCTGAACACTGTTTTTGCATGAAACACTTATATGCCAATATAAATTTAGTAAGAGAATTAGTAATTCATGCAACAAAGGCAACTTATCCATCAACATGGGAAGGGATAATGAATGAGTTGAAAAAAGTTTCAAAAAACACATATGATCACTTAGTGACTTTTCCTTCATCTTATTGGACCAAGGAACACTTCAATTATTATTACACATCTAATATGATTATGAATAACATATAAGAGTCTTTTAATAGTAGATTGTTAGAGGCAAGAGAACGTCCAATTATTAGTTTTCTTGATTGGATCCAAACTTATTTAATGAATAGATTTTAAAAAATATAAAATAAATAGTTAAAATTTATTCCACTAATATTCAAAGATTCCTGAAAGACATAAACCAAACTAATATTCAAAGGATTAGAATACTTATCCAACCATCAAATATTCAACAAATAAGTATAACTGCAAGAATCAAACAATCAAAATATTTATTCCACTTGCGACCACAAATGAATTTTTTTGATAGATTGAACTCAACTAGCTGTAGAAAGTTATAGATACTAGGAGATAAAGTACTAGACAGATTGAGTTTATGAAGATTGAAGGAAGTTACCATTCAATCATCACAACGCATAGTTGAAGAAGTTGCATTGTTGAAGAAATTGCATTGTCCGCCTCTATGTCCCTCCCATCGACACTGACAGTGATCCACTCCAACTCTCAGGTACACTCTTCATGCTTTGATTTCAATGCCGATTGTGATTCATTTTGCTCGTCCCTTTTCCCTTCTTCTACTGACCCGATGATGATCTTGACTTGTCCCTTCCCTCTTCCACCCTCTATTCATGGCTTCTCCTCACTCGACGGAAATATTCCCTTCTCCCTTCACTTGTCTCTCCTCCCTTCTCGTTTTCGTTTCTCTATGAGTCACATATCTAAAGGCTGAACCCTAGCCCCCAAATGAGAGCACAAAGGGAGCCAATTTGCCTCATGTTTGGGTAATTTTCAAAACAAATTTTTTTTTCACACATGGCATATATTTTCCATCTAGATCGTACTCGTAAACGTGTGCCCATATGTCTGCCACATCATTTTTTTATTTAACATATTTTTTAACAGTGTTAGCACTTATTTAACACTTTGAAACATGGAGGACTAACATATTTATAAACAGAGTAAACTTAAAAAAGGATCCAATAAAAAAAATTATAAGGACCTGAGTAAAAACTTTAAAAAACTATAAGCACTGGGGGATTAATTTTCCGTTTTTAATCAGCTCGCTGCTTCTGGCTTTGATCCGGTCAGCTCTGCCATAATAATTGACTTCGTAAAATCGGAATGCGGATGTGTTATAGGGGACCGGGAATCGTTGGTCATTGACATCCCCTTCCCTGCCAGCACGGGGATTTAAAATTTTAGCATTTTATGCTCCCACTAGCATAAACATATATTGCGAAGGGAGGTTCGCGGGGTACGGTGTGTAAATAAAGCGGCCACGCACACATGCGGCTAACTGCTACGGGAGTAAGGGGTGGGATTGGAAGGCTTTATTATTTCGTTGATTTTGATAGATGCTGTGTGGGAAATGACTGAGAATCCAATTCAATTCAATTCAATTCAATTCGTTGCTACTCCCGGACCGCAGCATAATCACCACACCCCAACGTCCAGCGGAATCTTATTCTCATCTCATTGGCATGTGTCTTCCACTATTTTTCATAACTTGAGAGCCACGCATATTTTAATACTATTATATGGAAATTCGGCACGAAATTTTACAAGAGCGCGTTCTAATCATTTCTTACGAGTATTGGAATTCAGGCCCTTCCAACACGCCCTCGTAAACTTGCTGCCTCGTCCATAAATAATTATCCCCCGGGCATATGATCAGTATCTCGAATATTTATAATTTTACGTTACTATTACGCAGCATAGCCAGGGCAAGAAGCAACGAATTGAAGTCAAATGTTCGGGGACATGATCTACTGCTTACTTTTAATTGTCCAAATTCTACTCCCGACTTCACATCCATGTCATCCATTTTTAATCAATTCATTAATATCATGACGTGAAGGGCAAGGAAGTCGTCGTCGATCGGCTCGTGAGGATTAAAATTGCGATGTTTGAAGTAGAAGAGTAATGGATATAATAAATAGAAAGAGTGAAAGCAGTGCCTGGGAATTAGCTTATTTATTTATTTATTTATGTTTGCTTAATATCTTTTCTACTTATGACCATCACTCCCATTTCATACGGTCAATTAATGGATCGCTCGGTTTACATTTTTAGTGATCAGAGTTCAACATTTTTGATAGTCTGAATTTAAATTTTATTTGTCAGTAATTGGATGGTTGTTAATTAAATAGGCGGTTTGCTCGTTACACAAAGAATGACATGACATGACATAATTATTTAATTAGATAGACAATGCGAATAATAATAAAAAAAGGGGCTGGGCTTGGAAGGTTCGTGCTGGAAATCTCTGAATTCAATGGACAGAGGACCCCACACCTTCTCGCTGCCTTGTCCGCTCCGTCCATTGTGGGAGTGGAGTCCCCGTTATATAAAAGTCACACGCCAAGCCGCTTCCCCTCCTTCTCATTCTTCTCTTCAATCCCTCGTCAACCGCCACCATGCGCCTCCTCCTCCTCGTCCTCCTCCTCCCTCCTCCGTTCCCCCTCGCCTGCGCCCAGGTCGATAACACTGGCCCCACTGGCCCTTACTACAACTCCTACACTCCCTCCATGGCCATCATCATCGTCATTCTTGTCGCCGCTCTCTTCCTCACCGGCATTTTCTCCCTCTACATCCGCCACTGCGGCCAATCTTCCGGCTCCGCCCTCCCCAACCTCGCCGCTCGATCCAGACGCCAGCCTCGCGGCCTCGATCCCTCCGTCATCCGCTCCTTCCCGACTCTCGACTACTCCGCAGTCAAGGTTCACAAGATTGGAAAAGGTACCCTGGAATGCGCCGTCTGCCTCAACGAGTTCGAGGACTCCGAGACGCTCCGCCTCATGCCCAAGTGCGACCACGTCTTCCATCCTGACTGTATCGACGAGTGGCTGGCCTCCCACACTACCTGCCCCGTCTGCAGGGCCGACCTCGTCCCTCAACCAGGCGACTCCCTTCATGGACCTCCCGTGCTTGACTCTCGCGCTGATGTCGAATCTCAGAACGACGCTCGGGAACCTCCTGACGTTGACCGAGAGGCCGCCGAGCCCGATGTCAGGTGTTTCAATCAGAGGCTGAACCCGGACAGTGCGCGAGGTTCTCGATCGAGTCAGCCGGTATGGTGGGCGAGGTCTCACTCGACTGGGCACTCGCTGCTCCAGCCGGGGGAAAACACCGACAGGTACACTCTGAGACTGCCGGCGGACGTGAGGAACAGGCTGCTCAATCAGAAATTTCATCGGGCCACAAGCTTGGTAATCTTGCCGGGGGAAAGTAGTTCGAGGAGGGGATATCGAACCGGAGGGGAGGGTAGTAGCAGGGGAAGGTTTTCGAGGCGACTGGACCGCGGTTTTAAATCAGACCGATGGGTTTTCACGATGGCGCCGCCGTTCTTAGTGAGGGCGTCATCAATCAGGTCGCCGAAGGTGGCTAGTAACAGTGCCGCCGTTGAAGAGACCTCCGCCGACCCCATCATGCCACCCTTGGCGGTGGACTCGGCCCGGCCTCCGGTTTAGTAATTCCTTTTGCTTTGAGTTTTGGATTCATTACACGGTGCAGCAGTGCACAAAATTGAGACCTTCCGCTTCCTTCTGCAGCAGGTACTTGTAAAATTCACCCTCAGATTTTTTTTCTCAGCCACGATTTCGATTCATGTCTAAATCGTTGGGCTGATTTGTTCTGAGTAATGTAATTAAAATGCTCTTAATTAATCTGAAGGATGTGATCATTGTATCGAGTATTAACCTCTGAAACAAGCACGATAATATTGGCCCAAAAATGAACCAGCACTATAATAATACAGAAATTGGCACGATAATATTAATTGACTTGTGATAGCTCGAATATATGTAAAGCATTGAAGTAGCGTATTTTTATTTTTCTTTTTTCTTTTTTTGAGTCCCATCGGATTTTTAAAAGCCGCATTTCAAATTGGGGAAGTTGACACAAGAATAGAAGAGAATGTCATTAAATAACGTACAGGAAATAATGTAATATATCAGAAAGGTTGATCAGTAAGGGATCGAAGGATGATTCTCACAAGTGTGACACTAAAACATTTTTAAAAAGGGGCATGCCAAGATGAATACGGTAACAGAATTTTGAGTTTATGGGGAAAATGCAGTAGCGACGGAGTTTTTTCTCCCTTTTGAAACAACGGCAAGAACGCGTAGGAGGATCAAAAAATCTTGTCTGACATTACTTTTTATTTTTATATTTTTGAAACAATTTTATTAGACTAGTACTTTCGGGTTCGATAAGTTCAAAAACTCAGTTTAAATTGATTACTGTTTTAAAAATATAGCGAAGAATAAAAATATCTTAAGAAATTGAAAAACTGGTTTCAAGAATAAATTAAATTCCCTTGATCCATTTGTTTTCCGTAACTTATACTGATATGATTTCTTATAATGATTTGATATCTATAGAACATTAATGAATTAATATATAATGGTAAAATTCGTGTAGATTGAAGAGTACCCCCTCTGATCCCATTAACAAAGCATGTTTTAGAACATTCATTTGATCTCATTTATAAATTATAATACAATTTTTTAAATAATAGTTAAAAAATATTTTTAAAATTATCCTTTATGAGAGAGAAAAATTAACATGAGTCATTTTTTATATTTATTATATAGATACATATTTGAAATTTTACGCACTTTTATTCTTTTAATTTTTTTTTACATTAATATTGATGAGATTAATAAAAATAATTTATAACGAGGATCAAAAAAAATAAATAATATTTAAAGCCCAAATTGATACTGTTATATTTGACAAGTTATATATGCACGTGTACTTGTGTTTCATGAGGTCGATGTGGGCGTTCTAAGCTAAGGACAACGTAACTAGATATCTATACTGTCGTGCAAATAGAAATTGAGGGCCCTATTATTATTCATTTTTGAAGGCATCAGGAAAAGAATGTTGACACTGCATTTCTTATTGCCAAAGCCCAAAAGCCAAATGAAGCATTGTTGCAGGGAAGCAACACGTTAGGAATTCAAACCGAAAACAAACATATATCACATTCCGGAGAAACTTGGAATTGACTGTTGGGCGTCAAATCGACCAGGATGGTGGTCAGTGCCGAATCCATTGGCTACACAGACACAAATAATTAAGAAACATGCGACAGAAATTGCTCAAATACTTTTTGAATGAAAATTTCAATGAGGACCCTTCGCCATTTTCTTCGTTACTGCTACATTGCACACTTTTTTAAATTGTTCCTTGTGCCCTGTTCCCTTTACAGCATCATTCCTTTTTCTGATTAAACTGGATATCATTGCTAATAAAAGTAACTCACAGAAGAAACACTGGCAACAGGCCAATAAAGAAACAGAAGACACCAGTCCTCTATCAGCCACCATCTTCTACTAAAAAAGATGGTTGTTGATCAAGAAGAACAAAATTAGAATCTAAGTTGTGAGAGAACTTGTCAAGGAGGTGATTACCATTATATATTCTCCTCCCTATACACGTTTTAATACCATGTCCCAGTCCTGATGAAGTACTGAGGATCTTGCTTCCTCAGTAATACGGATGGTGGATATCACATCCTCTTAAAATTAGCGAAATCGCTTCTGTACAGTCCGAGAGAATACACACTTCCTTAAGTCCACGCAGCCAACAGCCCCATCTATAATAGTACTAACTCACTCAGCAATGGTTGGGGGAACTAAGGTGATTTTTCCACTGAAACCACAAATCTATCTTTCCTGCTGGTCTCCTGTTAGTCCAACGCAACCACTGCTTTTCTTTATCCCTAACATAAGATGAAATGAGAGTTGCAAATTGATAGTAGTATTATATTATTAATAAGAGTTATAAATTTCACTTACGTTAGTTGTTTATTCTCCATACACCCATTATTTTTTATACTTTTCATACACTCATTATTTCTTATACAAGTTGTTTATACACCTAATTTCACTAAGAACAATGAAATTGTTTCAATCAGCTCTTTAATTTCATTTCAATCTCCTACATATATAGTAAAATTTTAGAATTTTAAGGGTTTTGATTGAAATTGAGTTGGATCAATGGATTCTCATTGAAATTTTCCCAATACTTTTTCTTTATTCAGCTTTTTAATTAAAAAAAAAACTTTGATGAGTGCCTTCTCAATCTACAGCCGGTCATGCCACATGGGCACATCGTACGTGCAATTGCATGGAGGCTAATTAGGGCTCACAAAAAATCAAAAGAAAAGCGTGTGAAAAGGGGATATTTTTGGGAAGTTAAAGAAAAAGAAAAAGAAAAGAAATTCGCGCGACCCAGCAAAGCTCAAGACCTCCTATGCATCTTAATTCTAAACCGAGCCATTCATATCCTGACAAACCCACCTCCCTTTCAGGCTAAATCATGTGTGGGCAACATATAAGTTGCGCTTGTACTGAAGATCAATACACTTATTTGCTGCTATTCCATCAATTTTTCTTTAGCTGTATTGCCTATATATTTACATCTATTAACCAATTTTTAAGCACCAAGCCTGTTTTAATTTAGTTTTTTTTAATGGTTCCCGTGTTAGATACTTTCAAGATCAATTCATTTGCAACAAAATTATATAGAAAGTGCTCCTTGACGCTGGCCTATCATTACAAGTTCCCTTTTTATAATTGATTTGTTGGGCGCCATAATGTCAATGCACACTTTATTACTCAAGACCCATCCGCGTTTCTATTAGTTTGATATTATTCCTTGAGTTTTTGTTTTCTCTGCTGGTTAAGTTGATAGCGCGCGCGCGCGCGCGCACTCTGAGACTCCGCTGCTCCAACTTTTTATCGCCAAGACAACCATTGATATGACCGGCCTCTTGGAATTGATCCTCTTGTGCTTTTCTACCGTCAGCCCCCTGCAAAGGATTCAAAAGCCTCAACAATATTCCTTTGTCTCCTTCGCTTTTCCAAATGCCGCTCTTTTTTTTTTTTTTTTGGGATCGAAAAGTTATTCCACTGTCATTACCTCTAAGCGCTAGACACAATGTGTTGGGCTCGGCTCTGACTTCCTCCTTGTGCATCAAAATTTGCCTCGCATCAAAATACTTATTTTGCTATACTTCGCAGCTGAGTTTATATATATATTGGAACAGGACATAAAAAGGGCTCTAGAATCAAGAAAAAATAATGTGCTTGTAGAATGCAAATGACTGTAGTTTACGCGCGCATGATTGAACTATCGATCCATATATTTTTCTTTTCCATAAGTTGAAGTGAACGTGCCCGCAAAATTTGACACTACTGTGGCTAACAGGAAGCACATGCACCTGTGCGTTTCCCGTGCTGGTGCTTTACCCGAACAAAATATTATTCAAACGACAGTTCGTTAATGGATTGGACTTGATGTTTGTCTCTGGGGTCTTGGAGAACTAAATGAACTTGCATTTGTGTTTCTGACTAGTGGTATTAGCGACTGCACGACATCTGTCATAAGCGGTCTGTATTCTGCTTCTGGCTGTATACACATGGCTGCAATTGCGCCTATCTGTTCATCAAATCACATAAAGCAATTAGTATTTTGATGCATGATGAAATATTTAATTATAAGTCTAATATAAGTTGTTCTACGATATATAATGGTGATGATAAGTAATGACCAAACCAAGCTGACCTGAACCAGATCCTTCCTCGAGTAGTGTCCTCGCAGAACTGGGTCAACCATTTCCACCAGCTTTTCTCTATTTGTTAACCTCGGAAGAGCCTAGCAATATTAACAAGCGTCAAAGTTACAGAAAGACGAAGAGACGTATATGTCGATTCGTATTACATGTATCCATGTGCACAATTCTAATTTTGTCAATTTGCTTTCACTAACCCAGGAGACAAGAACATGTTCTCCAGGAGGTCGTTTAATATCAACTGGCACACGTCCTGTGAGCAACTCCAAGAGAACAACCCCGTAGCTGTATACATCTGACTTTGAGGTAAGCTTCCCAGAACACGCATACCTATAAAGGTTCATTGATCATTGAACCTACTTCTCAGAAAACGTAATGATGGTGAAGAAATTTAAATTCAATTACGGGCTGCCTGTGACTGTGTGCATGTGCACAGTGCTTCTTTTCTTTTGACATGAACTTGAGCGAAGATAAGGAAAGGTGCTTATTCAGAGACTCACTCTGGAGCTAAATATCCAGTGGTCCCCAACACGGGGGTGGAAATCTGAGCGTTGATCTTGGCGCGCAAGTTGCGATCCTGTAGAACGTTGTGGCAATTGAAGTCGCGGTGGATCACCGGCGGGACCGCATGTTCGTGCAGGAATTCAAGAGCTCTAGCACAATCAAGGGCTATCCTCAAGCGGGGCCACCAGTTCAAGGGTTTAACTTGACTGATCCCGGAGTGGAGATGGTGATGCAGTGTTCCACTGGTAATGAATTCGAATATCAATAACCTGTGGTGCTGGTCCGCACAATACCCAAGTAACTCCACCAGATATGGAGAGTGCAAGCGGCTTAGCATGTCCACCTCCAATCAAATCAAAGGAAGACAACAAGAAAGAACAAAAGAAAACGAAAAGGAACTTGTCAGCTAGTGTCCACGTCCCCATGTGCAACATTGGAATACAGCTTATAACGTGAGTTGTATTATTTGAGATAAGGCACTCGCATCCCCATTTCTTGGTCCCTAAAACTCCATAATTCATTTGTCCACTCCGACATTTTAATATCCAGGAATAGAATAAGATTCTCGTGATCGAGCAAGGCAGTTACATATTAGAAGGTTGCCA